TATTAAAGCATTCCCTGAAGGTAAAAAATAAAGACTAAAAACAATTAAAAAAGGAAAAAGAAAAAAAGAAGACGAAAGTGATCGTCAGAACAAACTGCACGTTACAAAAAGCGGTGGACGGGTTCGGTGGGGGTGTTCTCGCTGTGCTGAATTTATACAATATACACCAGCCTTGCACAGCTTCAACTTTCCGTCGTTTCCACAGCATCACATCTGCGTTCTCGACAAACGCCGACCGGCGCCTCGCATCCCTGCCCAGCGCCACTGTGCGTGTTGCTTCCAGCACCAACCGGCTGCTTTTTATTGAGCTCATTTTAGACGGCCCGGGGCTGAGGAGCGTTAATTCCCCTTGCTGTTTCCACACAGAGCAGGGAAAGTCCCACGTATCCACCGGGATAACTTGCAGGCATCTCCTCTCCAGCCCGGTGCTGATGAATTTTAGTGCAAACCAGACGTGCACAGCTCACACCTGTGCAGTGCCACACTGCCACCCATATAGACCTGCTCTAAGCTTTCCACATTGCTTCTCACACGCCGTCTATCAGCATCCAGCCTAGTGTACGCATCAGGAAGGTCCTTCAGGCTTGACTTGTCTGGCTGCTCCTACTCTGCATCCAAGGCAAGGATTAAACCAAGGAAAAACCTGGTTTAACTTCATCCCTAAAATGGAGATGAAATGGAAAAGTCCCGGAACTTCATGTCCCACCACTTAAATTCTTCAGCTAAATTCATTCATAGCTGGAGTGTCCTTTTCTAAAAGCTGAGTGCATTTAACAGAAAAAAGATTTAAAATCCCACAAAAATAAATGGCACTTTTACCTTGAATGAGCTTTGGGTCAGACCTCCAGCGGGTAACGGAGGAAACCCGCTGGAGGCTCTCCCACCCAAGGCTCTCCCGCCTCTCTGGGAGATGTCCCACCACGGGGCATCGGAAGCGCGCAGGCACAGAGTGCTCTTCCTGAGCAAGGGGCATTTTTCAGCTCAGTGGGGTTTCCGCTCGGTTACACCACTTCAGTGGGTACCGCAGAGGAGTATTAGCTGTCTGCTCTCGCACTCCACTGAAACACCCAGGGACATTTACCGTCAAACAGAAATATTTGCAATATTGCAAATCGCTGGGATTATCACAGGTTTAGAATTAGACGAGCCCGAGTCCTGAAGAAGGCCACAGCGAAACACTGCTCATCATACATCTGCAGGTGACAAAATATGATTTTGATCGGATATATTGGTGCAGTAATAAGACAATCATACCTTCTGCAGTGATACACACAAAGACATTCAGAAGATAAGTTTTAAAATGGCCAATTTCTCAGTTATTTACAACATCCTTATGACCAAACAAATTAGGGAAATATTGTACAACGGAGAGCTAGGGTTGTAATCTGATCTCAGATAGTCATCATCTTAAAACTCTTAATGAGTCAAAGATGTCAAGTAAATTGTAACATGTGAAAAGGCACACATAGCCACGGAGGAGACCTAGAACGCTTCATCTGAGCATGCAGGAGGGCAAAGCCACCAAGGGTCCTAGCTGCAGTGACCAGGTCTTCTGCTCACTGGATATCCATCCAACACCTTTATCCCCACAAGCTGGAGCAATGCCCTTATATTCCCCTGGTCTCTAGTTCCTCATGCCCATCTCCTGTGCACTTGCCTGTTGCCTTCGAGGTCAGCCCAGTGTCCCCTTCTCATCCACACTGGCCTTCTGCCACGCTGGCTCTGCTTCCTCCACGGTGGGGTGGACTGCAGAGGAGGAGGTGGACCGCAGAGGAGGAGGTGGACCATGGGTTAGGAGGTGGATCATGGGGGAGGAGGTGGCCCACGGCTCTCCACTGATGGACTGTAATGTGAACCCAGAGTGGCACGAAGGTGTCTGAACTGCCTCACCCGTCTTGAAGCTTGGCCAGATGGTTCCCACCCCGTTTGTCAACATTCACCTAATTTGCACGACTTGCCTATCATGAGATTATTTATTACAGCAGCTTTAGTCAAATTCCTCTTCCGCACTTTAGAGCAATGGTTTTTTTGTCTGACTGCAGATGCAGACTAAAACCAACTGAGGCCAATAGGTCTACTCATGCTTACATGCTTTGCTACATGAGCATTTTTGTTAGGCTCAGTCACGCTTTCTTTTGAGATAATACCAAATCACAGCTCACCCAAGCCTGGTGCCAACTGCCCTTCATGTCCAGAAAAAGGAAGGGAAGGGAAGGGAAGGGAAGGGAAGGGAAGGGAAGGGAAGGGAAGGGAAGTTTTTTTCCCCCTCCTATCCTCAATATGTAGCCCAGCTTTTCCTAAGTCAATCTAGCAATTCCTAGATGAAAACATTAATAATCATAGCTATAGATATAGCCCATCTCCTGCCCCATGTCAGCCTGGAGAAGCACCGTGTGAGACCCAGGGAGGCTTCCTCCCTTCTGCATGCTGCCCAAGCTGTGCCACTTGGACCACCCCGTCCGTGGGGCATGGAGGGATGGAGCTGTATCAGAGATGCCCTAGGTGATCATCTTCAAGACACCAAAGGTTCATTGTGTATTTTGCCTCCACTGCATGGACTGATGTCCCCAAGCATTGCATGTATTTGTCTGGAGAGTCCTTGCCCATTTCTAGAAAAACAGGATGGTTTCAAACCATGTGTTTATCAACAGGGGTGACAACTAGTATTGCCAGGTGAAAACTGAGAACCCCCGTCTCTTCTGTCTTCTTGGAAGTGTATCACAAAAAAACAACCCCATGGCTGGTCAGGTTTGGTCATGACCCAGCAATGCTCTTTAGCAACCTGGCTGCTGGCATCTGAGTGCATTAAATCAGACCTTCACGAGTGGTGAAGGCGGTGCCAGGACTGATACGGTGGCAAGCACTGGATTCAGGGAGTGACTGGCTGCCTGGCAAGCAGCCCCATCCCCAGCGCAGCCACGTTTCACCATCCATCTGATGGGGAGGTAAACAACACAAATTTGAGTGTTTTGCCCTCCATCTTACTCTGCAAAAATCAGCTGTCCTGTTTCTGCCATGCCCTGGCTGGTTCCCAGGAAGCATCCCCCACTCCCACCCAGGTTTCGCGGGACCTTTCAGCTCATGAGTCTCCATCTCCTCCCCCTGAGCACACCTCGGTGTAGAACAAGCCCAGTAAATGTGTCACGTCAGGGGTTTTTCTATGAATCACCTAGATTTTTAAAACCACATCTCACTCAAAATTGCAAAACATCTTCCTTCTCCATCTTTGGATCCATCTGCAGCTAACACTTTCTTGTTCATTAGCTTCACCCATCTCACTGGAGTTGTTCCTGCTTTGCTTGGAGGTGAGGAACTGTGAGTCATCGCCCTCTGGTCAGTATAAGCCTTTTACTAGATCGCACTTTCCTGGGAAGTAAGCAACAGCTTGGACTGACATGAAGTACTCTGTATGTTTTCTGGAGTGGGTCTGAAAAAATCTCTCTCCATCCTCCATTGAATATTCTGAATCCGGGAAAATTTTGTATCCATTCTTTTCACTTTGACCCATCCGTACTAAAATTGCATTTTCTGCTTTAAATAATGCAATACTTTGCTGGAGTGTTATCATGGTTCTCTGATGTTGAGAGATTGGGAGGCAGGAGGGGATGGGGGTTGCATTTGTCTGGGGTAGGCACTCCCAGGAGGTGACGGGTCCTGCCTAAAATAGATGGGGTGAATCCATTTGGCTCTTTCCATAGGGCTCCCCGTTTGCTCAAGCTAACTGCTCGCGTAGCTTTTGAGTGGGAAGTTATGTGAGGCGAATCCTATTACTGATGCAGTAAAACTAGGAATAAGTTGCTCCTGGTCCTGCTATAGCTGTCTGATCAGCAAAACGGGTGCAGAGATAGATCGATAGACGGATAAATGTATTACAGCAGACAGTATTTGCCCGTGCTTGGCTAGCCGTCGGACTAAATAGCAATATTGATCCTGTAAATAATGACATCCCTAAAATACCTAACTTGCTCCTCAAGCAGTAAATGCAGGCCTTAGGTCATGAATTTCTCCACTGAATTTTTCTCGGGGAAGGCAGCCATCCACCGCAGAGTGACTGCATAATGTGGGCTCCCTCACACACTGGTTGTATCTTATATATTTATCCTAAATTAGTCAAATGAAGACTAGAAAGGTATCAGGTTTCTTTTCCCTCTCATTTACTGAATATTCAGTTTGGAACTTCGAGTGTTATTTAATCCAGAAATGTTCACGTTTTCTAAGCGGTCATTGACCGAACGAAACTTATTTGTTCCTTTATAACCAAAATGTTCCCAATCTGGATGATCGAAATAAGCTACAAGAACTCACATTAAGCACTTAGTGAGTGCACCACTTTTATGAAGCCAAGTATAAGGGCTGTGTTAAAACACAAAACGCGTATAGAAATGGCATATGATCCCCCATGTGAAATGCTGCCTGCCTGGAAGCTTGAAAACATGTCCATCTGACTTCCAGGAAAGAAACATCATATCTTTTCTATCTTTTTTACGGGACTCAAAACTGATTTAGTTGAAAAACAGTACAGGGAAGAAATTTCCCAGGCAGGATAGATTAAAAAATACCAAACCTGTGAATAATGTTTTGATGTGATTTTGACTAACACATTGCTGGCACCTCCAGCTGTACAACCCCGCACGCAGAGAAGATTTTTCTAACGATTCTTCTACAACTGAGGGTGTTCAATCTGCTAAAAATTTCTTGCTGACTTGCTTTAAAAGCGAAAAGGGGACAGCCCTTGGCCAGCCTAGCTGCTGCTGAGGCAACGGTGTCGGCCGGGCAGAGCATCTGAGGAACTGGAAATGAAGCCCGATGGGCATCTGTGGGCACCGGAGTTACCAACACATCAACCCAACCTGCCCCATGAGCTGGTGTCCCTGCTGACAGGGTGAAGGAGCTGGGCTGGGGGGCACGCAGCTCCCCGCTCTCCCGGGATAACCAGGATGGGGGAGATTGTGCTGGAAAACACACACACACACACACACACCCTCCGTACAACAAACCTATGGATTAAAAGTCAATTTTTTAATGGTCTTCAGCAATTTTTCCATCCTGGAAGAAAGGGGTGCTGCGAGGGGGTGGAGGAGGGAGGAGACCCTTCATGGGTTCCAGGTTGTGTAGTTACCAGGGATGCACGCAGAAAATACTGCTGCAGGGCCTTCACCGCAGGCAGAGCCTCGTGGAGTATGAATTACAGCAATGGCTATCACAGAGAAACACAATAATAAGTGGGATCTAGTTCCTCTGAAACATTCATTTCTATTCAAGTTGAAAAACAAACTTTTTTAGTAAAAAGTCATCTCTCCAGCCCTACATAAAACTGTCTGATACCCTTCCACTTCCAATATCCGAGAGATATGGCTAAGTAAAGAAGGGATCAATTAGTTTTAGAACACAACATTCAAAACAAAATCATTTGTGAAGCATCTTTTGCACTGACTGTACTGCTCTGCTTTCCCAGCTAGCGCAAATGCCCAAACGCCACCTTGAGTCTCAAATATTCCAATAAAGTAAAACTCAGGTGGATTCTCTGCAGATACCTACCAACGTTACTCCTTCCTCATTAAAAGTATTTCTGAATCAGCTAAGTAATAACTACAGAGACAACTCTTTATATTCCCAATTACTACTCCCCAATTTGTTTTCCAGTATAACCTTTTCTTCATTTAAAACCCAGCTAGAAAGGTCGCTGTTGATGAGATATTAATAACTCTAAAGGATCTGCAGATGCTGTTCACCTCCTTTAGTCCATCCGTTGCCCTCCGATAGGAATGGGCTCCACCCCGGCAGAATGACCAATGCTTGTTCCAAACTTAGCGCACGGAGCTGGACCTATCTGTGGCATCCAGATGTATACAAGCAACACTGCCAAAATCCTGGATCAGGGCAACGATTTTGTTGCAGATCCTGCTCTGGGCTCCTAGGATGAGTCCCTGCATCCAAAGACACAATTGTAGGCTTGGCTGGCCACAGCCATGCTTGTTTTCCTCCAGCTACTGCTAGTCACCATGTTGAAGGCATGATGGGCTGGGTTACAGAAGACCAACCCAAATAGAAAACGCCCATCCTTGGGGACCTCGCGCTCTTTATGGGGAAGCCGGTGCCATTTTGACTTCACTACCATGCATAGAGAAACACTGCTAACTATGGGCTATGCAACAGAAGCCACTGGAGAGGCTCATGCCACCAGTTCCCTGGTGGACATTTGTCCAGGTCATTGCAGGATAGCACAGAAGGGAAGGTATCCAGCCCAGGTATCCCTCCCAAACCTTGGTAGATCCACGGGACACATGGACCTCTGTGCAATAGTATCTTCTGCCCACAGCAACCCCTTCCAAAGCTTCCAATGATCAGATGAGGGAGCGATAGCAGCCTTGGGCTGCTGGGGAGCCTCCTGCCCAGGAGAGTTCAGGGAGGGGGCTGGAGTGATGGCATGCTTGAAAAGGCTGTAGATAGCCAGGGCTAGTCACATCAGCAAATCCACAGGAAAAATGCAGAGCCTCGGCAAAAACATGGAGTGCAGACCTCAAAACCCTGGCCAGAGTCAACACGTGTTGCTTGAGCTCTCAAACAAGGACGGAAGAAACTTCTTCATAAATGATAAACCGTGGCCACAGGAGCCTTCTGCACACAGCTGACCTGCAGAGAAACCTGCAGGAAGCCTGTCAAAAAAGTAAGTGGTCTGCAGCAAAGTGGCTGAGTTTTCCCAAGATGCTCATAGAGTGGATCATATCCTGAAGCCACGTCACCATCTCAGCAGAGAGAAACGGTATCTGCTTGCTCTTCAATTATACAAGATTTTGGTACATTAGTTACGAGCTGTTGGATTTGACTCTTCACTGATCTGGTCCGGCCCTCACTAAGCTATATATAAAAGTAGAGAAGAGAATTATAATCTCCCCTTCAAAAGCAACACTCACGTAAGGCAAGACTGTCTTTTTTTCAGCAAGGAATTACGATAGTAAGAAGAGCATCGCAGTGTACCGTCTAGATTTACAGCGGGGGTTTTTAATTTAATTTGTCATTGCCAAATACATTACATTGGGATTAAACCGTACAGGCTATTAAATACTGATTACAAGAGGACAGCGCACTGTGGCAGGCAAATAACTTACAAGTTACTGAAATTAAGGCTTTGAAAATGTTTTAAGGGAATTAATGTTTAATTAATGATTTTTGATTTATAAGGCATTCCAGTAATAGCTTCAGTGAGAAATTGCACAAACCTGTGAGACATTCCTAAGTGGAAAAGATACTTGACGTTAGTATTTTTTTTAAATAAGCCTGCATTGGAAGACCACCACCAGGGAATTTAGAGTTTGGTGCACAATAAAAGGACCGTTCCAGTTAGCAGGCACTTTAGCTTCGGTGATTTTTTTTGCATGATCAAATTTATGTGCACACATTTCTAACAATACAGCATGAGATGAACTTTGAATTTAGCGTCATTAAAAATATTCCTAATTCAACACCCCAAGTGAACTTGGATATTAAAGTGTAGGGAGGTTTACAGATATGAGATGGTTGGCTTAATAGTCACTTTTTTCTTCCACTGAATTTCATCTTTCTGCTACTGACTTCCAGAAACAACCTAAATCAGCAGCAGCATTTAACTGTCCAACATGATTGATGATTTATGTTAAAAAAATTTCTCTTACACTAGGACATTCTTGTACAAAGTCTTTTCTTTTTTCGCTAAAAGAAGTAGTCCATGTAATTTCTTATAGTCAAACCCAAGTCACTGACCCTTTACTGTTTTGCTCACTACATTCACCTCAATGATCTGACAGTATTTTCACAAGGCTGTAAGCGTAATTAAGGAAGTTTAAAAGATGTTTGTGTCAGTAGCTGTAAAAATACAAGCAGGAGAGTCTACTGAACTGGAAACAATAAATATCTGGTAGCACTTTTCCTACACTGGATGTTACAAAGACTCTTCTACAGAAAAATTTTCATTAGGGAATTTCATGGTAATTTATAGTGCCCTGTCAGGAGATAAATCCCACACGAGATTCAAGATACCTAAATAGCGGGTCTGTCAACTTCTGTAATTATATAGGGGCTTTTTAACTCTTCAGATCCTGATGGGTTACGGAGGTACAGGGATGATACAACTCCCGCTAAAGTTACTGGAAGCGGAAATAAATAAACTTTAGAAGTCTTAGGTACCAAAACCCAGCAGTTTATAGGACTTTAAGATCATCTTCAAGCTGCAACACATCACCTTTTTGCTGATGTACTGAGTAAAATAAAACTGCAAAGAAGTTTTGGAGGATTCACAAGGCCTGAAAAATTTGAAAAATCACTTTGAAACTGAGGACTTCTTTCCTTTTCCTACTTCTTTCCTGGTGCAGCTGGACCAAAGCCAATGTCACTACACAATTTTTGGTTAAATCCACCTGGTTACAAAATGGACCTGGCTTTCTGTTTAAAAGATATTAATACTTGTTACAGCTTACTAACATTCATTACAGTTAATTTTTATCACTGGTTTTAATATGTTTGTTTTCTCCTTATCACTTTGGCTATAATCGTTTGGTTTAATACACAGAGCACACATTCTCTATGCTGCCTGCTTAATTATTTTCATCTCTTTTTATGTCACATTTCTCAGAACAATAATTATGTCAGATCATAAATCCTGTCCTACAGTGATAATAATAAAAGCCTGACAGACAGTAGTAGTTGCTTTATAACGTGGAACAAGGTGATTCACTTCAACTAAATGCTTAATTTCTTTCTACTTACTGTAATTAATTCAGCTTAATTATTTAACCTATTAACCAAAGGTTAATTAAATTGAATCTGAAGGACTCTCTTACTATATTTATATTGCTTATTTTTTTGGAATGGGACTAGTGTTTCATTACCTCTCTTGCTCATTAATTTTAGTGCTGCTGTTGCTCTTTCTTGACACGTTTGTTTTCTCCAGGGCCAAGTTAATCCGTAATTCAGTGCTAATGGTAAATCAGTTGTGCATTACCCGCTGCGCACGGTCCAAAAGGCGATGCCAGGGTTTGCATGCAGGGATGGACTGCGTCATCTCACCACGCTTAGCGTCAGGTAACAGGACCCACGGCGGGAACACACCCTAAATAGCCACAACCACCCTGCCCTGGGCTTTAAAAGGACACCTCCTTCCACCTGCTTTTGATATTTTTTTCTTTGCAATGTCATCTTCTAAAAATACATCCCTGCTCTTCTTCCCAAGCCACAAGGGAGCAGGGTGGGATAGAGGTGGCAGCCCTCTTTCTAAAGGCTTCTTAAGGCTTTTTTGAAGAGCACCTTGAAAAATCCAAAGCAAATGCCACAGTGCAAACTGGCCAAGGTGTTAAAATCAAATTCAACAAATGCAAACTCAAGCCCAGGAGCTGTTGACAGCAGCCCACCGGTGTGGCCACAGCTGAACTGCCCCTACCCAGCGAAGTCGTGGGTACCTGCAGTACCTGCCCTTATAGAATCATAGAATCATAGAAGTGTTTGGGTTGGAGGTGTTAAAATCAAATTCAACAAATGCAAACTCAAGCCCAGGAGCTGTTGACAGCAGCCCACCGGTGTGGCCACAGCTGAACTGCCCCTACCCAGCGAAGTCGTGGGTACCTGCAGTACCTGCCCTTATAGAATCATAGAATCATAGAAGTGTTTGGGTTGGAAGGGACCTCTAAAGGTCATCTAGTCCAACCCCCCTGCCGTGGGCAGGGACATCTTCAACCAGATCACGTTGCTCAGAGCCCCGTCCAGCCTGACCTGGAATGTTTCCAGGGATGGGGCATCCACCACCCCTCTGGGCAACCTGTGCCAGCGTTTCACCACCCTCAGCGTCCAAGATTTCTTCCTTAGATCTAGTCTGAATCTACCCCCCTTTAGTTTAAAGCCATTCCCCCTTGTCCTGTCACAACAGGCCCTGCTTCCAACAGGTCCGTGTCTTTCGTATGCTGAGGGCTCCAGAGCTGGACGCAGTACTGCAGGTGGGGTCTCACCAGAGCAGAGTAGAGGGGCAGAATCCCCTCCCTCCACCTGCTGGCCACGCTGCTTTGGATGCAGCCCAGGATACG